TATAAACAAGACAGCTCCTGAAATATAAAGACTAAGATGCAACAATAATTTTTCAGCAAGGGAACAATAATATTCTGATATCTTTCACATCTTTCTGTTTTTTTAATAAGCAACATACTTTAGAAATATCTTCCAGATCTTCCAGAAGGTAACTGATAAAGGCATATGATCCCTCAAAATGGGAGCAACACCCGCATTATAATGTTGTAATACACATATAGCATAATGCACAAGCAACTTATGAATCAAACAATACAATATGGATGAAAAAGTATTCAATTCTGTTTGATAAAATTGGCATGATTCCAGGTTAAAATTAACAAGATATGCAGGGGTGTACCCAGCAATGTCAAGGGGGTGCAATTGTTTGGGTTTGCATCACTGCGAGCGGAGCGAGCCCCCATTGCACCCCCTGGCTACGCCCATGATATTATGACTGTCTATTTAACATGTATCTACAAAAAATCCAGGGGAGAATGCCCCCCCCCCCAGTCCAGACCTCCATGGATTGTCTCCCCTGATTAGCCGTACAAACTCTATGATTAAGTGACCAATATTTGCTACATGAACATAACAAAATGGTTATCACCGTTGCACTGCAAGATGGTATTATTTAGGTACATGGTACTAGTATTGAACTATTATCCTATCCGGTGCACATCTACAAAAGGATAAACCAAATCATGATTCCAATAACCCAGATGCGAGTAGAAATAATCTTGATTTACGTCATTAAAAATTCAAAATTCAGTCAAAGTAATATCGTATTTGAAATCTACATGTAAAATTACATCTAGAAATGTGGTTTTAAAAAGTGTTTATCAACTTTGAAAAATTAATTTTCTTTGAAAATGTGACTTCTAGCTCGGGGAGATTCCCCATAGACCCCATGCTATAAAATCACAAAAAATGAAATATCTTTTCTTTTAGTGGACAGGTAATATTTTGCTTTACTGGACATATTTTCATTAGTATAAGTACCAGACACATAAGGGTTATATGAAAATTGAGCCACTTAAATTGATAATATTCAAGTTTAAGGGAACTTTCTTATATACCTGCCATGTTAATTGACCCGAATCAGCCACCTGGTGGTGAAACTGGTAACTACCTACTCGCATTTGGGTAATTGAAAACATATTCAGATGTGTGGGTGTGCCCCATTTAACAACAGTTTATTGGTTGAACAGAAGAATTTTCAATGTCAGACAACAGTCACATGACTTCATGGCAAAGGTCACTCAGTTTGACTGGATCAATAACTGTTGGATTTAACTTCAAATGTGACTCACTCTGGTAACATTTCATCATTGGTTATGTAACAATAGAGGTAGCAACAGTATCCCACACAATTCCCCTCTATGCACAACATTTTTACATCTAGTTTTTAAACCTGCACATCGCTCAAAAATGCAATATGTTGACATATATTGTTTTTACATTTTCAAGCTCTAATATAAAGTTTATGTAAATAAAAATTGTTTTTTTCTGCGTAATATCAAAGAACAATCATTTAGTTAAAAAAATAAAAAGACTAATGCGGGATTCGAAACCGGGCCTCCCGCGTGCTCAGCGAGGATTCTACCCGCTACACCACCGTATTATTATGAAAGGAGGAAGTAATTAAACGCTACTTATTTTGAATGCTATGATTCGGAAGTGACGTCACGTTCTTCATTTAGAAACCTTTCCAAAATCATATCGCCGGCACCGATCAAAGCAAATTCAATGAAAAATCTTTGAAATGACACATTTATCGTAAGTATTTCTACACAAGATTTGCCCCATTTGTTCATCATTCTATAATCTTTCATTAAGCTCAAAATGATAAAGTTCACCCCCGAAACAACCCAAGATTGCGTTTCGGAGCGTAGTCCAGCTTTAATTGTTTTTAATTCAATTAGTCATACTGTACCATTACCGTTTAATTTGTTAACTTTCACATGTAAAATAAATGTTGTAAGATTTTCTTGCAACATTCTATATTTTGCTTAAATCACAGCATGGGCTTTCAAGAGAGAACCCATGATCCCCAGGTACCAGAACAATAGTAGAATTGACCAAAATAATAATCTATGCCCCCACCCATTTTTGTCAATTCTATTATTAGTCTATCTGTTCTTTGCCTGTGAGAGAGAGTAGTGTAAATAGGTCTCTTTGGAACAGATGGTAGAACTAAAATACAGAACGAAGTGATGATAATCCGACCCCCCTCTCTCTCTGTGTACCAAGAAGGAAAAACCTTTTTCCTTGACAGGGAGACCGGGACAGGGAGTGGAGGAGTGGGGTGGATTCTCATTTCGGTCAATTATTCTATCTGTTCCGGTGCTTTTGGTGGTGTGATCTATAAATATAAACAAATCAAATTCCCTATCAATATTTTTGACTTGGAGTTGGACTCCAGGGGAAAAAAACAGAAAAAAGAAAAAATAAGTCCAAGTAGTTAGGCTAGTTACTGCTCATTTTACTTGATCTTACATTGACATTAAATAAATTGTTAACTTACCAAATAATTCCGGTATTCAATGAATGTAAATTTCTTTATAAACACGCCGATTGAAGGACTTGTTGGCACGATTTCAAAACAACAACAAACGGAAGTGTAGCTCTTTAATTTGAGCCTCGTTCTGAAAATTCCGGGAAATATGAAAATGTAAACAAAACCACGTGGGTGAATATCAACAGTACCTCAGATTTACATTACAGACATACATCTTTGATCTCTGGGGTGTCTCCCCCTCTTGATGGTATGGAGACTCTCATATATCTATCTACAGTAGATATATATATGAGAGTCTCCATACCATCAAGAGGGGGAGACACCAGCGTTCAAAGATGTATGTCTGTAATGTAAATCTGTATCGAGATGACCCACAGTCCTGATTCAGTGGCATATTTTGTGAGTGTAGAGAAGAGAACGAGCTTTGAGCCTTTGAGGGGGGTTTGGAGATGGGGCGTTCTCCCCTAAGATAATTTAAAAATTAGATTATATTTGAAGCGTTCTGCAGCATTAAAGATACGAAATTCCGACTAATATGGACCTACAAAATGTAAATTATTGTCCATTTTATCAGAATATCCAATATTTTTAAAGTGTGGGGGCTTCAATATAAAGAATCAACTTTTCTCTAAATTTTGAGAGTATGCCATGGTGTTTTTTGCGTATATGACCAAGGAGGATTGGCTCCCAGAGTGCAACATCGATATTCTGTCCCATATATGGGCATGTCGTGATACAAAATTTGAATTCAAACAGCCACCATTTTGTTCACTTCAGCATTTGAATCGTGAATTTTGGTCTTGTTTCCGAACGAAAAATTCCAAAACTCAGGAGAAATGATCGAGATATTGGTTCGAATCTTTTGGACTGTTTATTTTGAATTTATAGTTGGTTATAATTTCAGAAAATAACGACATTTCGACGATTTCATTGTTGGAAACTATCGAGTTTCGATCCTGGGAGCCAATCCTCCTTGCGTATATGACGCTACGCTATTGCTTACATCGATTAAAACATCACAACGACGTGTTATATTCAAAAACTAACTGGTGAGAATTTGCGCAAACGAAGGTGGTACGCAAGAGACGAAATATGTTGTCATCGCTAAAGCTCTGGGGTTTTCCCTCCTCTTCATACATCTACATCAATAATCCGCAAAAGGCTAATAAGACCATTTAAAGCAGATATATAGTTTAACAGTGACACATATTGATGACGTAATACTCGTAGCCTGCTCTTGTGGAAATCATGGGCTTTTAAGAGAAGCCCATGTGGAAATCCAATGTAATGTGACATCATTTCCCTAACAAGATAGTTTTGGAGAAACCCCCAAACTATTAGTGGATTCCTTTAATTATTTAACATTTATATAAAAAAACAACTCTAACTTGGGTATAGTAAGCGTTCTATCATATTGCAATCGATTCTTCATACAAGAAGAAATATATGTTAATAATAGCGTAAAATGCTTTCAAGAAATACCCGGGTAAGGCCAAAAACGGCAATGCTATTGTTTAAGGATTTAAGCCCTTGACTCAGTGCAATGTGGAATGGCGTTGTTTCCTAAAATTAGCACTCGATGCTCCTAGAGCTAATTTTGGAAAGCAACACCTTCAAGGAATGGTCATCACACAATGCAAGGAGTCTTGGGCTGAAATACTGATTTCTGAACACATAGGTCTATTGCAAAATATTTTCTCCAAAATCATCTAAAAAATACTAAATCACGAAATGAACATATTTTCAATTTTTGCAAGACTCAAGCTGGCAAACAGGCAAATTATCAATTTCAGTCTGGAGAGTCCAGTCGAGTCATCACCATGACAACTGTCTAACTAGTGACCTTAATTTTCTTATTGGTTATATAATGGACTGCAATTTAAGGTAAGAGCTCCCTCACTAAATTACAATGGACAAAACTTTTGTGAAAATTGCTGAAAGTTGACCCCATTTATTTTTGTGTAAAATGAGTTAATATTGGGATAAAAATATACAAACAAGGTTTATATCCAGGGATGGCTGATTAATGGCCATATATGGGCAAACTTCAGGAATGGTCAGGTTATTTTTTTCTGAGAATAAATACAAATAAAATCTCACATTATTTAAATATATTTCATCATCCCAAAGAAAGCAACATATTCCATAATTTTACAGACACTACTTCACCAAAATCATCCCACATGTTGACATTTGACTTATGCATGACCATGACATACAGTGAGCTCCTAGGACAATAAATGGAGTTCTTAGGGAAAAATGAAATGCCTATATTTTGAAATATTCTTGATCAATCTTCACCTTTGTGGGAGTAACATTTCTGTTGCTACTGAAGTTGCACACGTAGGTGGGTTAGTTGGTTTTTGAAACAATCAAACAAACAGTACCTACACAGTGTAGCATAAAATACTCCAGTCAAAACAGGTTATGGTCAGGAATCATGTTAACCATTGTACAGTATGTATCTTGACAAAAACACAAATGAACATAATAGCTTGCATTATATTTTGAAATCATTTATTGCAATTTATACTTACTAAAACATACATTTTATAATGTAATACAGAAAATGCCATGATAAGTTCTAGCACAACATCTTTCATGAGTATACTGTACAATAACATTTCAAGTCTTTCAATATCCAAATACTGTGTATGTTAATTCTAAATTGTTTTTAATGATCTCTGAGGTCATGAATCGTTGACAGCTATTTGTGATTTATCTGAATGTCTGAATATCTTCAGGGAATTATCAGCCCCGCCACTTAGCAACAGGTCAGGTATCGACCAATCAACTGCCAGCACTTTATCTTCGTGACCACTGAGGTCATACAATGGTGCTTTGGGACTGGAAAGGAAAAAAATAAACTATATTCTAACATGCATCCTGTGTGTAAGAGGAATTCACCAGAACAATGGCAACGCCAAAGTGTACCGAATCCCATCGAACAGAAATGGCTGGCATTTTTACAAACGAATAGCAAATATCATAAAACAACACACCAGAAAGGCCACCATTTTCAAAATGGTTGCTCACTAGCCAAGTTGTCATCAGAAGAAATAATATGCTTTTCAGTAGCCACCTCTAAAAATTTTGAAAAATCCCACACGTACTTGTAAAATAACACACATAAAAATGGTGGCCATTTTTCAAAATGGCCGACTACTCCCCAAAGTTTTATTAGACAATGTGCCATGCTTAAAGTATTCACATATCAAATATGAACAAAATCGCTCAACTACTTTTCAAGTTATAGTAAAATACGTTAAAATGGCGACCAGTTTTCAAAATGGCCACCTTCTACCAAAAGTGTCATTAGAAATAGACAGTGTGCCATGCTTATAGTATTCACATACCAATGAACAAAATCGCTACACTACTTTTCGAGTTATAGTAAAATACGTTAAAATGGGGGCCATTTTTCAAAATTTTTTCAAAATGGCCGCCTTCTACCAAAAGTGTCATATGACAGTGTGCCATGCTTATAGTATTCACATACCAAATATGAAAAAAAAAATCGCTCGACTACTTTTCGAGTTTAGTAAAATACGTTAAAATGGGGGCCATTTTTCAAATTTTTTTTCAAAATGGCCACCTTCTACCAAAAATGTGATAGGACAGTGTACCATGCTTATAGTATTCACATACCAAATATGAACAAAATCGCTCCACTACTTTTCGAGTTATAGTAAAATACGTTAAAATGGCGGCCATTTTTCAAAATGGCCGCCTTCTACTAAAAGTGTCTTTAGACAGTGTGCAAAGCTTATAGTATTCACATACCAAATATGAACAAAATCGCTCCACTATTATTTGAGTTACAGCAAAAATCGTAAAATGACAAGTAAAGGCCGCCATTTTTCAAGATGGCTGCCATGTGCTTTTTTAATATCTACATTTGTAGCATTATTAATGTCCTTTATAATTTTTTTACATTTAAAACATATTGCTATTACAGTTTTACATATTGCACCTAAATTACTGTAAAATCGGCACTAAAATGGCAGCCATTTTGAAATGAGTGGCCATTTTGAAAATCGGCTTTCGAGCAGAACTTCTACCCCCATAGGGTATATGTGTACAAAATATGAACAAAATCGGGCCAACGGTATTTGAGTTATTGCCCGGACGGACGGACGTACGGACGGACGTACGGACGGACGGACGTACGGACGGACGGACGTACGGACGGACCGACGTACGGACGGACGGACGGAGGCGTTCCCTATATCCCTCCGAACTTCGTTCGATTGGATAATTAGTCATATTATTATTAATATGCACATTAAATTTGCTTCAACTTGCTGAAGCAAAGATGGTACAAACTGGTATTTCCTGGTTAAAAGCAAGAAGCAATGTTAAGGATAAACACAAGTACAAAAGTAATTTGTCCAAAAATGTGCCAATCTATGAAGATAGTGTAAGATCGCATCAGTTCTAATGGTTGAACAAACTATAAACGATCTTACGATAACTGCGATCTATTCCAGATAGTCATTTACTGTGAACTGATTCTGACTAGTCAAAAGAAAAACAATATTGTACTCCCAGTTAATTTTGCGAGTTTTAATTTTGCAAATTTTAAGAAATCACAATTTCACAGCTAATAAATTTCACTTTAAATTTCATTTTCTCTGAATCCTGTAAACTAAGTTACCTTACAAGTATGTACAGTAACTGCACCTACCCAATGTCATATTTGATTAAGATTTACAATTACAAGATCTGTGTCAATGATACGCTGCACCTCAATCTATATTACATCATCATCTTTTGGTTTATTTGATCTCATAAGCCAGTATGGGACATTGTTGACAGTATCCCATTCATCCCCCAACAACACTTGGAGGAATGTCTTACACAAAACAAAATGCATTGGAGTCCCAGGTAATAACAAATTTAACCAATCTCCAGGATTTTAATTGGTGAATTTTGTGACGATTATTTTTTCAACTCTACCACAAACATGAATATAGTGAAACTAGATCGCACACGAAAAAATACTGGGAGTAGAGTAGGTGACCATGACATATAATATATTTCACATCTTGATGTCATTGATGACTCGGAAGGAATAGATGGCAGGTGAATATGAGTGTTCCATTATGTTGTTTGAATAAGTCATTCTATATTTTATTTTCTTTGAGGTGTAATGAGTCGTCAACCTTGATACTTATCAATAATTGTATATAGTACCTTCTAGTATCCCACATTTTGACGAGAGAGTCGTATGAGCCAGATATGAAGAGATGCTCGTTGCTAGGAGACCATGATACGCTAGACACCCATCCTGTGTGGGACGTGAATGTACATTTCACTAATGCACCATCTATAATACAGAAAATAGGTAAGAAAACGTCATGAAGGATTACATGTACTGCTCAATTTGTATTCTAATACCCATCACTTTCTGTTTGGCATGAGGAGCATGCTCTGATCTATTAGGCTGGATTCTTAAGTCACATAGCATGATGACTAGTACTATTGATTTATTGATTTACTTCCATGAATCACATAATGGACATAAAACTGTATTGTAACTGTCATCTGAAATAAATATACACAGATGATGCAATCCCTAAGGGTTTTATGACCTCAATTAGATGACATATGAGACATGATGGAAAATCTCAAAATTACTCAATCCAATTTAAAAACAAGACACACAGTGATAAATATCGCACTTTGAAGAGCAAACTGGCCACCATGCAATTTACCCAGCATGGCCATAACCTAATCAGATCTTGGCACTAGTCTGCTCTTGCATCTGTAAACATTTCAAGTTGAACGGATAAGTGGTTTTCCTGGAATTTTGATGACAAGATTTGTTGAAAAATTCAAAATGGCTGCCACGTAGTTTACCCAGCATGCCCTAAACCTAATCAGATCTTGGCACTAGTCTGCTATTGCATGTGTAAAAATTTCAAGTTGAACAGGTTAGCGGTTTTCTTGGAATTTTGATGACAAGAATTGATTTGTAGTCTCAAACTTTGAGAAACTTGGATAACATAATTTGTGACCTAGTTTAATGACCTTGACCTTCGACCTTGAAAATTTCACTTTTTCAGACCTCAGTAGGTGTTTTGTAATTAAGCTGACCTAAATTTAAATCCAAAATATCAATTTAGAAAATCAACTTTTTTTACCTTTTCAAGGTCACTGAAGGTGAATGAAAGGTCAAATCTGAAATCTAAGGTCAGATTTGAACTTCTGACAACTTGTAGATGTTTTAAAAAAAAAATTTGGTCAATTTGGAGCAAGTTGAAAAATTCAAAATGGCCGCCAAATTGAAAAATTCAAAATGGCCACCGTGTAATTCAGCCAGCATACCCAAAACCTAATCAGATCTTGGCAATAGTCTGCTTTTGCATCTATAAAAATTTCAAGTTGAACGGATAAGTGGTTTTCCTGGAATTTTGATGACAAGATTTGTTGAAAAATTCAAAATGGCCGCCACGTAGTTTACCCAGCATGCCCTTAACCTAATCAGATCTTGGTACTAGTCTGCTCTTGCATCTGTAAAAATTTCAAGTTGAACAGGTAAGCAGTTATCCTGGAAATTTGATGACAAGATTTGGTTTATGTGCCGCCCGCCCACACGCCCGCGGATTTCGTTTATGTGCTGCCCGCCCGCACGCCCGCCCGCCCGCCCAACAGCACAAGACGACGACAATAAAGCACTTTTTCAAAGTGCGATAATAATATCATAGCATCTCAAGATGGCATGAGTGATCAAATATAGCACTTTTTCAAAGTGCGATAATAATATCATAGCATCTCAAGATGGCATGAGTGATCAAAATTCTCTAGTTTAGAGAGAGATATTTTCAGAATACTTAATTGCACTAGATGCCATTACCAACAATTATCCATCCTCCGATCACAGGGCTTCAAAATCCAGAATATATTCTTTCTTTTTACCCCCAGCGATAAGCAGTTACCATTTCCCTGATTAAGAACTCGCAATCTGATTGGCTGTCGCAACACTGCGACAGAAATCATGTATAAGTCATTGCGTATAATTAGATCACGTGATTCAGTTAAATTGGGCGCTTCCAAATTGGTTATAGCAGGGGGAAGAAGGAGGTATGGATTCTGGACACCTGCTTAGGAGGATGACAATTATAACAAGACACACAGTGATAAATATCGCACTTTGAAGAGCAAACCGGCCACCATGCAATTTACCCAGCATGGCCAAAACCTAATCAGACCTTGGCACTAGTCTGCTCTTGCATCTGTAAACATTTCAAGTTGACAAGGTTAGCGGTTTTCCTGCAATTTTGATGAGAAGAATTTATTTGTAGTCTTGAACTTTGGGAAAATTTAGATAACATTGTTTGTGACCTAATTTGATGACCTTCGACCTTGAAAATTTCACTTTTTCAGACCTCAGTAGGTCTTTTGTAATTAGCTGACCTAAATTTAAATCCAAAATATCAATTTAGAAAATCAAATTTTTGACCTTTTCAAGGCCACTGAAGGTCAACGAAAGGTCAAATCTGAAATCTAAGGTCAGATTTGAACTTCTGAGAACATGAAGATGTTTTTAAAAAAAAATTGGTCAATTTGGAGCAAGTTGAAAACTTCAAAATGGCCACCAAATTGAAAAATTCAAAATGGCCACCATGTAATTCAGCCAGCATACCCAAAACCTAATCAGATCTTGGCAATAGTCTGTTCTTGCATCTGTAAAAATTTCAAGTTGAACGGATAAGTGGTTTTCCTGGAATTTTGATGACAAGATTTGTTGAAAAATTCAAAATGGCCACCACGTAGTTTACCCAACATGCCCTTAACCTAATCAGATCTTGGCACTAGTCTGCTATTGCATGTGTAAAAATTTCAAGTTGAACAGGTTAGCGGTTTTCTTGGAATTTTGATGACAAGAATTGATTTGTAGTCTCAAACTTTGAGAAACTTGGATAACATCATTTGTGACCTAGTTTAATGACCTTGACTTTCGACCTTGAAAATTTCACTTTTTCAGACCTCAGTAGGTGTTTTGTAATTAAGCTGACCTAAATTTAAATCCAAAATATCAATTTAGAAAATCAACTTTTTTGACCTTTTCAAGGTCACTGAAGGTGAATGAAAGGTCAAATCTGAAATCTAAGGTCAGATTTGAACTTCTGAGAACTTGTAGATGTTTTTAAAAAAAAATTTGGTCAATTTAGAGCAAGTTGAAAAATTCAAAATGGCCGCCAAATTCAAAAAATCAAAATGGCCACCATGTAATTCAGCCAGCATACCCAAAACCTAATCAGATCTTGGCAATAGTCTGCTCTTGCATCTGTAAAAATTTCAAGTTGAAAGGATAAGTGGTTTTCCTGGAATTTTGATGACAAGATTTGTTGAAAAATTCAAAATGGCTGCCACATAGTTTACCCAGCATGCCCTTAACCTAATCAGATCTTGGTACTAGACTGCTCTTGCATCTGTAAAAATTTCAAGTTGAACAGGTAAGCAGTTATCCTGGAAATTTGATGACAAGATTTGGTTTATGTCCCGCCCGCCCGCACGCCCGCACACCCAAACGCCCGCCCAACAGCACAAGACGACGACAATATAGCACTTTTTCAGAGTGCGATAAAAAGGACTGAATGCTGAATTGGATGAATCTAGCAGCTTGAACTTCACTTACCTGTACTTCTTGGGTCATACAAACGTATATGTCTGTCTGATGAGGCGGCTAGAACACATTTGTTGTGGGGAGAGTAATCAATGTCTAAGAACACCTTGGTGCCATTCTGCAACAACAAAATATATTTAGCAAGTTAATACTTTTGTTCTTTACACTGATACAGTTAGTAAAGGATGGTGCCCAATTGCCAATGGCTGTTTAAAAATGAAAGAATGAATTTAATTTCATTATGGGTTAACTTTCTCCTTCACCCAATATAACAGAATTTGAAAATATTGATTTGGCTTTCATCACAAATATCACCATTCTTTATTGATGAAATCATCATCAACTCCCCCACTAAAGAAGTTACCTTTGTATATTGTAACTTTGTTCTTCTACTATGAATGTGCCACATTTCAGTAGCTTGTAGAAAATTTCATAACATGATTCATACCAGATTTGATTTTTCCATTCCCTGCTCCACATCCCAAATCTTGATGCAGTGGTCCCATGATGCAGTACACACCTCCTGTTCACTCAACCACTGTGCTGCAGATATACCCTCATTGTGGCCTGATAATGTCATTAGAGGAACCTGAAATGAAATTTTTTAAGTTATTAAAGATGTGCAGATCTATGTTCAAATTAAAACACCTTATTGAAGAGTCGCCCCTTCGGCTAAGTGGATGGCCATTTCCCAACTTCATCTCTTAGAACCTGTAGTTGAGCACAAAGAGCATATATAGAACCATCAACAATAAAATAAAAAGCGAATAAAGCATGACTTAATAATTTTGAACACATAGCTATCTACGTAAATGACAAGTCATGATTTCATATGATGATTTACCAAACTACCTATAACAATAAAAAGGAAATGAACAAACACTAATTTATACAATAACTAGATTACTAAGTCAGTTTATTCAAGAACACAGTGTTTGAAATACTGCACTGATTGGCTCACTTTTTAGGGATGGAATAATATTGCAACAATGTGATATATCAGTACAAAAAGACCTTTGGCATAATCTGATGCGATCATTCAAATTTCTGATCCATCCAATTCATCAGATCAAGCAGTCACATAAAGAGATCCAATGGCTTTACATTACAGTACCTCTGGTGGACAATACAGTCCATTTGGTGTGGCAACATGGTAAGATTAGTGTGGCAATATATCACCTCTGTTATCACAATTCAGTACATTTGGTGTGACAATATAGTGCCTTTGGTGAAATAAAAATGTATCTTCAGAAATATTTAACTATAAAATCATGATGACTGGAATAGACAAACATACAAAATTAAAACCAATCATGATCATGATGATTGGAATATCATGAAAAATCATGATGATTGGAATAAACATTCCTTCCCCCGCATAAATCAAGGAAAATAAAACTTTCAAACTTTTTGTAAAATCATGATGACTAGAATAGACACTCCTTTTGTCTCATATAGTATAAATAGGTGTGATATATTCTCTCTGCCAACTGCTACAATCTACATCTACAGTCTACATTGACAATCTACAAGGATGTTGAATGGGAAGATGTTTCTGATTGCTTTGGCAACACTAGCTCTTATCATCTCTATAGCAGGTATGTCATATATGTAAAAGATTTGATGGATTCATCACTACATGTTTAATCATGCTTTTAGATGCAACAGTTGTTCATAAGTCTATCATTTCAAAAACTGATCACTGAGTTTTTACATTGTATAATATCACAAGAATGGCTTGAACAAGAGAACAACTTTGCTTGAATACATGAGATATGCTAAATCTTAAACATGTGAACTTATGACTGCATATACAGACTATGTACTCGTAGAACCTTTGGATCAACCCTTGTATTAGTGTTTGTAACTCTGTAATTGCGATAATCTTATGAAATATGTAGCATTTTATGCTTTTCCAAATTCCAAGTCCATGTGATGTGTCCGCGTGATTAAGCTTGATAGCAACATTATTCAAATGATACATTATACTTATACAGGATTTTTGTGTCGATATATAGCATTATTACAAACAATTACATGTATTATACATTACATTGTACTTGAAAAGAAACATGGGTAAAGTACATTATGTGCTACTTAGGAAAACACGTTTGGCAAAAGTGTCCTAGCAAATAGTAATTTACAGAATTCAGATAAATATCAAATGCTACATCTTTCAGATACATGATGTTCAGGAACATAATAATCACTGAATCAATCAATGTTATATTTTAGAGAGTGCTACTTGCACATGTGAAGGGAATACATGCAGTGGTGCCACTTGCTCTTGCACAGGTAGTTTCCTTTTCCTTTTCCATATAAGTGGAAAAATAGATGGCATCATGGGTATTGGTAGGACTAAATAACATGGCAGCTTAATAGCAATAGTCACTTAATTTCGTGATTTAACAAGTAATTCCCTTTGTAACCATATGATATTATTGACATGTGGATTGTGATTTCACATTAAAATTGTGATCCTTATAAGAGTAAATGAACTTTTAAAGGTTTTTCAATATTGTGTCAATGGAGATTTAGCCCGACCATTTTTAGAAAACTTAAAAATCTGTAGAATTTGAATAAAGTTAAATAACAGTGCAAATCAAAGTTGTTCTGACAGAACATGTACAGACAGAATTCAAATATGCCATCAAATAGAAGAAAATGTTAGTCTTTAGTTGTGGCATATCTCCAAAAATCTCATTAAAAACAAGACTTTAACAAGATTTCAAAGCAATATGGAAAAGCCTCTATTAGCACCAAGTTAGCAATTGTACATTGAGTATTTTTCATGCAAATGTTTGCCAGTTGAATTACATTTCTCTTAGTTTTTCCAATAAGAAATAATAAAAAGAAACTTATCTATTAAATGTGGAATAATTTACTTGTTTGGGTGTATGCTAGCCTAAGCACTAACCTTATTCAGCTCAGATAGGTTCATGTACTTTAGCCCTTTAGTTTATAATGCATAAAACATCAAATAAAAGACTCATTATTCTTCCCACATATCATTGTCTAAATGCCCACCTTTAAGAAGTTTAAGGTAATTGTTGAGGTTTGACCCATTGGCAGGTTTTGTTAAAAAATTCTGATGTTGGGAAACACTCAATATCGATATTGCATTGATTTTGAAAGAGGTATGATAACTAAGTATTTACATATAGCCAGGCAAGGTGTGTCCAATTCCAGCCTATCAGAACATGCTATTTCATGTAACTGCATTCCATCATATACGCATCTTGTGCAAATTTTGGAAAGCAACACCTTCAAGGAATGGTCATTCCACATTGCACTGAGTCAAAGGCTTAAATCCTTAATTTACAAAATTTCTAAATTGGTTCAACTCTTTCTACATGTATCTTACACCCCACTTGTGATTTGAGTGATTATAATTCAGGCCTTAATACCCTTTACACATTATTTTAGCCAATGGTTGTCAAGCTGGAGGAGAACCTGTAAAGAGATCTCTGGAGGCTGTTGACAGTAAGTTCACCATTCACTCTCAATTCATCAGGCCAATGGAAATTTCAGTGCAAGAGAACATCGCATCAGTGTAATTATCGATTCTTGTAAACATACACAAGCACCAGCCTATCTGATAATGATTACTGGAGTGACAAATCAAATCTTCTAAATATTATTAAACCTGGGTTGTTCTCAAAAAGATTTCTTTCTGTGCGAGATTAGTAAATGAAAATAGTGTACTACATGTACATTCTTTCTGTGTGAGATTAGTAAATGAAAATAGTTTACTACATGTACATTCTTTCTGTGCGAGATTAGTAAATGAAAATAGTGTACTACATGTACATTCTTTCTGTGCGAGATTAGTAAATGAAAATAGTGTACTACATGTATTGTATTGGTCATTGATGTGTACTACATGTATTGGTCATTGGTGTGTACTACATGTATTTGTCATTGGTGTGTAATACATGTATTGGTCATTGGTGTGTACTACATGTATTGGTCATTGGTGTGTACATGTATTGGTCATTGGAGTGTACTATATGTATTGGTCATTGTAAAGTAAGTGAGGCTATATGATTCATAACAATCAGCATATGTGAAATGTACATGTAGCATACCTCATCACCATAGACTTCAATGATATATTATTCAAGGATTTAAGCCCTCGACTAAGTGCATTGTGGACTTAATCATTCCCTTGGAGGTGTTGTTTTCAAATCTTTGCATGACTGCGCAGCACAAATGCAAAGTTTAGGAAACAATGCCTGAGTGGAATGAATCAGCCACAATGCAACAAGTCTTGGGCTTAAACTCTTTTCACACATTGCAAAATATTCTACAAAATCATTTCAAGCTGATAATTCATATTTGCAACACAGCATTACATATAAATACATGTATTCTATTGCTACTACTGTATTTCATTCCAGGAGAGCGTAAGGCTGTGTGCGTATGTAATGAACCATCTTATGAAGTCTGCCCAACAGATAATGGCTGTAGTTGTGTTCCAATAGGTGACTGCGAATAGACAACTATTAAAACTCAATTTATAACAGACAACTATGTGCTTTGTATTAAAAAATATGAGATAAAAAATAAATAATTTGGTTGATAAAATAACTGGCTGTCTTACCCGTGTTGGAATTTTAGAAGTGTCTGTTTTTTTCTTTTTACTTGGTTTCTCCCCAACTTCTACTTCATCTTCATTACTGGGGACTGAAACAATAAGTTCAGGAAATTATAAAAGTTAAACATAATTCATAAATCAAATTCTATTTTAGATCAGTATAACAATAAATACTTGTTTGACGATTTGAATAGGCTATATCTAATATTTTGTTTTTTCTATCAATATCAATCAGCATTGAAACAATCTAACACAACCAACATATATGGAAATCAACACCTTTCTTCACAATCAACACAATCATTCTAACAAGTAAATTCATGTCCAGCACAATCAAATTCTACTGGCACAATCAACCTTTTTGCACAATCAATAAATACCAGCACCATCAACATAAATTGGCACAGTCAGCACATTTCATCACAATTAATCAACATATCCTAGCACAATCAAAACATGCCCAGCACAATCAAAAACTAATGGCGCATCAACACTTTTAATCACCACAATAAACACATTCAAACACAATCAATGCACACCAGCACAATGAACATTTAAGGGCGCAATCGCCTAATTTCTTCACAATCAACACATTCTAGCACAATCAAAAATTCAGACCTACACAATCAAGATCTAATTAAATAGCACATTCAAAATGCACCCCCACAATTACCAAGACTGTTATAATACACATACTTGCTGACCAGATCTTCAGCATTCTGTCCCATGACCCACTGCACAGCTGAAAGTTATAAGTTTATTATTTCATAAGCAGCAAACATAGGGTGGTTCAAAAGAAAGTGTACATGTACATCTTATATTAAAGCGGTCTTTTAAATGCATCTACTTCAAGTATTGCTCACATATGATACACTATTCAATTGAATCTACATCTAATAATCTGCAAAAGGCTACGAAGCCCATTTAAAGCGTATATAGTTTAAGTCATAACAATGATAAACTACTCAATCAAACAATTGAAGAATGATATTTTAACATTGCTTTTTGCGACAAGTTTTAGGATCCCAAATGAGCTTTAGAACAGCGAACCATCTGGATAAAATGATTAGTTTAATTAAATAGTCTTAATAACTACAGCTGGTCAAGCAACTTACTCTGGTCTTTGTCTCATCAATAGCGACACAATCCACGCTGCCAGCATGCCCTCTACATGTGTGCACACACTCAACAGAGTTGTTGTTACGGTCCCATTGCCATAGCAACAGAGTCTGGTCATGTGACCCACTTACAAATGAAACTAAGGAATCCTCTTCTGGAAAATACAAAAGCAATAAAGAACTGAAATAAATATTCTCCAATTTATTTCGATCATGTTTAACAATGGCAAACTACAATGGGCCTATACTCATACATGTATCTGTCTGTCACATTTAAAGGCTTTGGGTATGAAGGTTCACAAAGATCCTCTTCATCCTTGTACAACCGAAGTTCTTGCTCGAAAATTACATTTATTAGTTTTTGCTTTATCAATAAGTATCAGTTAATCTATCTAAAAATCGAAATAAAGATTTGTCCAAGTTTTTACCATACATGAATGTATCAAATATTTATTATTTATTTTATCAGTTGAAAGCCCATGATACATATTACATTTAAAACTTACCAAACCTATCAAACCATGCTACACATTTCACAGGGGCAGAGTGACCAGGTATGGTTAGCAGGTTTTCTCCCTTTGTGTTCCAGATCTTGATTGTATTGTCATAGCAACCACTCAGTATCCTAGAATGATTCCAATAAAAACACTGTAATAGATTTCTCATTTATCAGAGTCTCTTTAGCTCTTTTCTCGCAATAGTAGAGGCTGCGGAATCCACAATCTGTGAATCTATGTGCAAAATGGAAATACTCAAGTCGATTGCAGAAACTGTACCAAGTACAGTACTCTATATACAGGGCGTATAAAAAAAACGCAACAAGTAGTTATCTCGTAAAATCACAAAACTAGTGATGACTACATCAATTTAATTCAATGTACCATAAAGCCATGTCTCTCCTCTTTGCAATGATATGTCATTCATTCACATGTGGTAATGGTTGGGTGAGAAATCCTTCCATTTGCACAGTGGGTCAAAATCGGCTCTGCTCCATTTTATAGATATTGCAAAAATCAGTACAAGGGCTAAGTGCCAATGGAAGTTCCCCTGACTTGAATTGTTGTGACTTTTTCTTTTGGAGCTATCTCATGAGCATCTGTGCTCACAATTCCTCCACCAGATATTGCAAAACCTCGAGAAAGAATTGCCCACGGGCTGCTTTTCTCTGCTTTATCCACAGATGACTCAGGGATGAACCATGCATGATATGGACAGATGAGCGCATCTTTATGTGCAAGGAACTGGTGGGAATTTGGAGGGGTATAGGATGTATTCTTGCAAGAGTATGAGTATGAACACTTTATTGTCTATGCCACACCTGTCACACCTTCTTCCAATAGCCCCTATGCCCCTTGTACTGACTTTTGCAATGTTTAAAACTTGGGTCCGAGCTGAATTTTGCCCCACTTTGCAAAATTAATGATTTTTCGGCCAGTCCTGACTCCCTGTTAATGAATGATATGCCATTGCGAAGAGGAGTAATTTGGCTTTTTGGTACATTGAATGAAAAGGATGCAGTCAGCATTGGTTTTATGTTTTCTTCCAATATTGCATCGGGCTCCGTACACTGACTTTTGCGATGTTTATAACTTGGTCCAAAGCTAATTTTGGCCCACTTTGTAAATGGAATGATTACTCGCCCAACCATGACCAAATATCAATGAATGATATATCATTGTAAAGAGGAGACACGTGGCTTTATGGTGCATTGAATGAAATCAATGCTGTTATCATTGGTTTTGTGCTTTTCCGAGATAACAATCTGTTACGTTTTTTTGATACGCACTGTATTATAGGGGGAACAAGAAGAGCACCTTCGTAACAAATTTTTAGATCTTTATGCCATTTTTTGAAATTCATTTCTTTTAATATTGCAGAAAATATTTTGAGGCACAATTATCACGAGAAGAACAAGTTTCGACCAAACTATTCTGAATCATGTGGGGAATGAAGAGTAATGCATTGTGTAAAACCTCCTTAACCTTCATTGTGTTCAACTACCTTAAGTTAATGTATATCTGGCGTGTCATGTCCATACGAGCCAATCATATTTGAAATAGAACTTCACTTCATAAACCCAAATGGTTGCTCTGTGTTCCAAATACATTTCATACTGCACTTCTGAATTGAAATTTTCATTGCGAGCTACGATCTTCCTTTCATAAAATACTAATCCATATTTTGTTAAAATCTTACGTCTGACCACAGCCATGAAGACAGCTGACCCAGTCATCATGCAGTAAAGAGTCTTCTGGTTTAGGGGCAGGGTGTCTCTCTAGGTACTCAAGCTCCACCACTGTCTCCTACAAGGTATTGAACAAGCTTCAATGTCAGAATTTTACTGAATATATAAGTCACAAAGATTAATACATACTGCCAATTCTAAATTTGAATCATGAAATCTCCATTCTTCTTGTTACTAAAATTGTTTGCTTGCAAATGGTTGGGAAGTGTGTTCTGCATATATCTATGTTGTGACTAAAATTGTTTGCTTACAAATGGTTGGGAGGTATGTTCTGCATATATCTATGGAGAATGGATTCCAACGCTTCCCTTATGATATTAAGAAATAAAAAAAATTAATGATAAAAATGAACTCAGGAATCTCTTACAGATTTTATGAAAATGACAAATCATTGACAGTAAAATAAAATACTACACAAATATCAGCTCGGCGCAACTATGGTGGCTTATTTTTTCATTTTCGTTTATCAACTTTTCTTTGAATGCCCAGTAATTGCAATTTGCCTTTAAAATCATTGGACATGTAAGTTCTGTGAAATGATGGCACTTACTGTTGAGATTGCCTTCTGGTCCATGAAAGCCTCCAGTGATTGACGTAGGAACTCCCCCTCGATGAGGAAGTCAAACTGGATCTTTTGTTCCTCATCCTCATCTCCTGCGAGAAAATCAGTGATGTATTATGTAACTGAATTATGTAAATTTCTGTAAAATATCCCTGTCACTTTCAAAGCAGTAGCCATTTAAAAAGATCTAGATTTAACCATTCACCACTGTACAATTTTGCACTAAACATTCTCTCCCATAGACTGAGGAATGGGCAGACAGAAAGCTTCACTATAATCCATTAACATGCTTTGCTTGTTGGGAAAAGACCACACCTATTTTATTAGAAGATGTCTTCTTCATGAGTATCCTGTATATACTCTGACTGTTATCTCTAATATATACCTGCCCATCACTGCAACTCTCTTCTTACATACATAAAAAGTATTACATACCTGTACTTTTACTACTACGTAGGATTCCATTTATAAGTGTACTGAGGTCAGCTGTTGCTACACTGGCTGGCACTGAGTAGGGGGTGTCTGGCACTGCATATCTGCAAACACAAGTGACACATGTTGTTGAGAATGTGACAGATAATTTTCACATTTGGCACATACAGTTGAGTATCTATATGGCACATATCAAAGATTGTATCATTTAGAGCAATATATTAGGGACATTTTCTGAAAAATTCAAAAGATTCTGTTCAGTGACCTTTCCTATGTGCCTACTATTAGCTATTTTTCAGTCACATTTTAAGAGGGCTGAAAAAGTTATTTCATCATGTGTAGGGTCATTTTGACCAATGGCATGTACATTGTGATTCTTGTCATATAAATGACATGTGGAACTAATTAAACTGACTGGAGATCAAAACAGAACTCTGTTATCTTGGTTCAAATAATGTTTGAAATCCAGCATGGTTTTGACACATCCTGTTTTGTCATTACCTGTTAAGTACCTCCATAGGCTTTCAACTAGAATTGAAAGCCAATATTCAATTTATCACTTTGACTTCCTAAAATAACAAATTGGTATGCTATTAACCACTTATCAATTTACCAATATGTTTCACGACCTCATGCAACCTATGTTACCTAGTGAAATCAGTCAAACATAATGCAGTATGCGCTGGAAGCAGAATTGAATCGAAAAAATATTTCTACTTCGTCGAAATCATCCACAGTTCGTTCAGAACAATTGTGCATTACTGCCGATTTTTATGTTCCCGGGGCCTAAATAGTCACTTCTTAAGCACTTGCTTGAATATATTTGTAACAAAAGGTATCTATTATATAAGAAATATAAATTCAATAAACAATCTAGTGATTATTACGTACGATACATGAAAATTATTATTTTCAAAAGTAGGTCACATTTTCTCCCAATTTAAATCAACATGAGGTCCCGGGGGTTTCACTATAATATACCTCTTATTAATACCTATGGGCCACACCAAAGACCCCCTTTTTGAGCATTTTTCCATGTCAATTTCCTCTCAAAATATAAGGTGTCCATCTTTAATTCCTGTCTGGAGTCCATCATGGTCTGCATGGTTTATGCCCAAAGCCAAAATTGGCTATGCTGCACATACCTACTCAAATTATTCAGAGTAAACCCCGGGGCATGATGTGTGCGTAATAAACTTGCCCACGTGGGAACTATTTATGACATACATCGCTAAATTCGAAATAAAAATGTAACTCTTTCATTTTACACAAAATTATGGCAATATAACTTATCATAAAAGCTAACAGAGGCATATTTTGGAACAGAATCACAAATTTTTATCGAGAATTTTTTTTAAATCACAAATAACTGACGCTGGACTACACACATTCAAACTATTGTATCCAAAGCCAATAAAGTGCTTGGATTGCTCAGGAGCAACCTCCATCAATGCCCTGAAAAAGTGAAGGCCCAGGCCTATAAGTCACTAGTCCGGCCTAATTTAGCGTATGCCAGTTCGGCATGGGATCCTTACCGACAAAAAGACATTGATATGTTAGAACAGGTAAAGAGAAGAGCAGCTAGATTTGTAACCAAATGTCACTCAAGGGAACCAGGCTGCATCACCAAAGCTCTTCAAGAACTAAAGTGGGAGTCACTGAAGGAGTGTACATAGAGTTTTCTTTTTTTACAAAGGAAAGCAGAACCTAGCAGCCATCAACCTGCCTCCATACTTTCGCCAACAGATCAATACCAACACTAGGATTTATCATCCTTCTAAGTATATTCAACCATCAACTAGAATGGATGCATACAAGCTATTTTCCCAGAACAATAGCTAAATGGAACACTCTACCAGGTAACATCTTAGACTGTGACAGTCTAAGTAGTTTTAAATCATCATACATGCCTATGTCAATAACAGCAAATAGGTATGTTTTTATTATAGATCTATTACCCAGGGCACTCAACTCATTGCACATCCATGTTTTAATGAAATGGTTCCCAGTGCACAGCAACAATCCTGCGTTACTGGTAAAGAGGAGCAATGTCAACGCGGTAGCCCAACAGTCGTCCCAGTAAATCTGGTAAGAGTTCAATGGGAACTCCAGGAAATTCTGATATTTCATGCTTTCTTTTTTTCCATAAATTTTCTTTTGAAGTTTCCAGACAAACAGGAGCTACTATTGACCTGTTTCCAGGTTTACTAAAAGTAGACAATTAATGATAATATCCTGAAAGAAGGAAGGAAATACACACATGCCTTTATACTGAAGTTTGTACCAGAAAATAACATGTGCAGGTATAGCAATTTTTTCCCAAAATGTTATTTTCCAGCTGTACCTTATATGGGCTTATTAGCCTTTTGCATATTATTGACATAGACATAGAGACTAAACAGCGGTCTACCTTTCGGCCAATGGATATCGAAACTCATGTAATAATGAGGCATGATGATTTCGATGACATACAAATGGAATATTTTTTCGATTGTATTTCTCTTCCCTTAGGCCATAGTGATACTGCCTTCACTTGTCATGTTTGACTGATTTCACTAGGTAACCTAGGTTGCGTGAGGTCGTGGAACATATTGGTAAGTTAATAGGTGGCTAATATATAGCACACCATTTTGTTATTTTAGGAAATCAAAGTGATAAATTGAATAGGCCTATCGACTTTTTCTTTAGGCTAGAAATAATTTATAATTTTTTTAGCCTAGGAATCTGATTGTACTCTAAACACCTTGGGGTTCAACAATCAAAAAATCTATTTATTCTCTCATTTGGCCTTATTCTTAAGTTTCCCTCCATATATAATTTGGCCGATCCCTTAAGGTGACTGTTAACTTAATCGATTTTCAGAAAAAATTGAAAATTTCACAATCTTGAAATTTTCAAACTCTTCCTGAGAAGCCGTTTTTATTATTTCACATATGCTTGTGCACTGTAATCATTACAAAGACATCAAAGAACAACAAAAAACTTTAGTTTGAGAAAATAAGTGCCGTTTAAAGAATTTGAGAAGATTTTTTTCTAGGAGTAGCCCGTGAAAAACTGCTGATTCAAAATATCTGAACATTTCAGAAAATATACTTCAAACATATATCAAAAACGAAGGAGCAACGGAAATTTGAAAATTACCCGATAAAAAAATTGGGATCAAAATAAGGAAAAAAGTACACTTCTCAAATTGTTTTTTTCTATTTTTTTTTAATTTGTATGAGAGATTTCAAAATTCTAAAGCTCCTTCCATTTTGGGCTATATTAAAGGGATGTTTCAGAGAAATTAGAAAAAAAAATGTTCAGGGACCTTTGCCGTGCTACTCTTTTTGTCAATTTTTCTGTCACATTTTCAGAGGACTCAAATTCCCATTCCAAAATGTTTACTGTTTCTATTTGCATTACCACAGTGAGCCTGGTTATATAAATGATAAGTGGAACTAAAAAATTGAGAGAAAATCCAACCAAAAGACAGTTAATTTTGATGGTCAGAGTATACTCAAATGCCGTGTGCTTCCTGGTTTCGGCCATCTTGGATTTTTTAATTAAGATCTAAACATGATGAAATAACCTTTTTAGCCCTTTGAAAGTGTGACTGAAAAAAAGCTAAAAGTAGGAGCGTAGGGAAGGTCACTGAACAGAATCTTTTGAATTTTTCAGAAAATGTGCCCAATATATTGCTTTAAATGATACAATCTTTGAAAATTTGATATCATTCATAGAAAAAGAAAAAAAAATGAAAAAACTGATTTGAAAAGCGATCTATTTTCCTTTTTATGACCGCCATTTTTGTTTGAGACAATTTTCTAAAATTTCAAAGATTGTACTAGTTAGAGCATTATATTGGGCACATTTTCTGAAAAATTCAAAAGATTCTGTTCAGTGACTATCCCTACGCTCCTACTTTTAGCTTTTTTTCAGTCACACTTTCAAAGGGCTAAAAAGGTTATTTCATCATGTTTAGGGTCATTCTGACCATGCACATTGTGATCCTGGTCATGTAAATGATATGTGGAAATAGTTAAATTGACTGGAGGTCAAACCAGAACTCTGTTATCTTTATTCAAAAAATATCTAAAAATGCAAAAAAAATTGTCACTTCCTGTTTTGTCATTTCCTGTTAACTTCCATAGCACCTTAAGGTGACTGTTAACTTAATCGATTTTCAGAAAAAATTGAAAATTTCACAATCTTGAAATTTTCAAACTCTTCCTGAGAAGCCGTTTTTATTATTTCACATATGCTTGTGCACTGTAATCATTACAAAGACATCAAAGAACAACAAAAAACTTTAGTTTGAGAAAAAAAGTGCCGTTTAAAGAATTTGAGAAGATATTTTTCTAGGAGTAGCCCGTGAAAAACCGCTGATTCAAAATATCTGAACATTTCAGAAAATATACTTCAAACATATATCAAAAACGAAGGAGCAACGGAAATTTGAAAATTACCCGATAAAAAAATTGGGATCAAAATAAGGAAAAAGTACACTTCTCAAATTGTTTTTTTCTATTTTTTTTTAATTTGTATGAGAGATTTCAAAATTCTAAAGCTCCTTCCATTTTGGGCTATATTAAAGGGATGTTTCAGAGAAATTAGAAAAAAAAATGTTCAGGGACCTTTGCCGTGCTACTCTTTTTGTCAATTTTTCTGTCACATTTTCAGAGGACTCAAATTCCCATTCCAAAATGTTTACTGTTTCTATTTGCATTACCACAGTGAGCCTGGTTATATAAATGATAAGTGGAACTAAAAAATTGAGAGAAAATCCAACCAAAAGACAGTTAATTTTGATGGTCAGATTATACTCAAATGCCATGTGCTTCCTGGTTTCGGCCATCTTGGATTTTTTGATTAAGATCTAAACATGATGAAATAACCTTTTTAGCCCTTTGAAAGTGTGACTGAAAAAAAGCTAAAAGTAGGAGCGTAGGGAAGGTCACTGAACAGAATCTTTTGAATTTTTCAGAAAATGTGCCCAATATATTGCTTTAAATGATACAATCTTTGAAAATTTGATATCATTCATAGAAAAAGAAAAAAAATGAAAAAACTGATTTGAAAAGCGATCTATTTTCCTTTTTATGACCGCCATTTTTGTTTAAGACAATTTTCTAAAATTTCAAAGATTGTACTAGTTAGAGCATTATATTGGGCACATTTTCTGAAAAATTCAAAAGATTCTGTTCAGTGACTATCCCTACGCTCCTACTTTTAGCTTTTTTTCAGTCACACTTTCAAAGGGCTAAAAAGGTTATTTCGTCATGTTTAGGGTCATTCTGACCATGCACATTGTGATCCTGGTCATGTAAATGATATGTGGAAATAGTTAAATTGACTGGAGGTCAAACCAGAACTCTGTTATCTTTATTCAAAAAATATCTAAAAATGCAAAAAAAATTGTCACTTCCTGTTTTGTCATTTCCTGTTAACTTCCATAGCACCTTAAGGTGACTGTTAACTTAATCGATTTTCAGAAAAAATTGAAAATTTCACAATCTTGAAATTTTCAAACTCTTCCTGAGAAGCCGTTTTTATTATTTCACATATGCTTGTGCACTGTAATCATTACAAAGACATCAAAGAACAACAAAAAACTTTAGTTTGAGAAAAAAAATGCCGTTTAAAGAATTTGAGAAGATATTTTTCTAGGAGTAGCCAGTGAAAAATCGCTGATTCAAAATATCTGAACATTTCAGAAAATATACTTCAAACATATATCAAAAACGAAGGAGCAACGGAAATTTGAAAATTACCCGATAAAAAAATTGGGATCAAAATAAGGAAAAAGTACACTTCTCAAATTGTTTTTTTCTATTTTTTTTTAATTTGTATGAGAGATTTCAAAATTCTAAAGCTCCTTCCATTTTGGGCTATATTAAAGGGATGTTTCAGAGAAATTAGAAAAAAAAATGTTCAGGGACCTTTGCCGTGCTACTCTTTTTGTCAATTTTTCTGTCACATTTTCAGAGGACTCAAATTCCCATTCCAAAATGTTTACTGTTTCTATTTGCATTACCACAGTGAGCCTGGTTATATAAATGATAAGTGGAACTAAAAAATTGAGAGAAAATCCAACCAAAAGACAGTTAATTTTGATGGTCAGATTATACTCAAATGCCATGTGCTTCCTGGTTTCGGCCATCTTGGATTTTTTGATTAAGTTATAAGTTACCTTAACTAGCGCCACCTTCCTTTTGTCAGTTAAGGTGCTATGGAAGTTAACAGGAAATGACAAAACAGGAAGTGACAATTTTTTTGTATTTTTAGATATTTTTTGAATAAAGATAACAGAGTTCTGGTTTGACTTCCAGTCAATTTAACTATTTCCACATATCATTTACATGACCAGGATCACAATGTGCATGGTCAGAATGACTCTAAACATGATGAAATAACCTTTTTAGCCCTTTGAAAGTGTGACTGAAAAAAAGCTAAAAGTAGGAGCGTAGGGAAGGTCACTGAACAGAATCTTTTGAATTTTTCAGAAAATGTGCCCAATATATTGCTTTAAATGATACAATCTTTGAAAATTTGATATCATTCATAGAAAAAGAAAAAAAATGAAAAAACTGATTTGAAAAGCGATCTATTTTCTTTTTTATGACGCCATTTTTGTTTAAGACAATTTTCTAAAATTTCAAAGATTGTACTAGTTAGAGCATTATATTGGGCACATTTTCTGAAAAATTCAAAAGATTCTGTTCAGTGACTATCCCTACGCTCCTACTTTTAGCTTTTTTTCAGTCACACTTTCAAAGGGCTAAAAAGGTTATTTCGTCATGTTTAGGGTCATTCTGACCATGCACATTGTGATCCTGGTCATGTAAATGATATGTGGAAATAGTTAAATTGACTGGAGGTCAAACCAGAACTCTGTTATCTTTATTCAAAAAATATCTAAAAATGCAAAAAAAATTGTCACTTCCTGTTTTGTCATTTCCTGTTAACTTCCATAGCACCTTAAGGTGACTGTTAACTTAATCGATTTTCAGAAAAAATTGAAAATTTCACAATCTTGAAATTTTCAAACTCTTCCTGAGAAGTCGTTTTTATTATTTCACATATGCTTGTGCACTGTAATCATTACAAAGACATCAAAGAACAACAAAAAACTTTAGTTTGAGAAAAAAAATGCCGTTTAAAGAATTTGAGAAGATTTTTTTCTAGGTGTAGCCCGTGAAAAACCGCTGATTCAAAATATCTGAACATTTCAGAAAATATACTTCAAACATATATCAAAAACGAAGGAGCAACGGAAATTTGAAAAATTACCCGATAAAAAAATTGGGATCAAAATAAGGAAAAAAGTACACTTCTCAAATTCAGAAACAAGTCGTGCTACTCTTTTTGTCAATTTTTCTGTCACATTTTCAGAGGACTCAAATTCCCATTCCAAAATGTTTATTGTTTCTATTTGCATTACCACAGTGAGCCTGGTTATATAAATGATAAGTGGAACTAAAAGATTGAGAGAAAATCCAACCAAAAGACAGTTAATTTTGATGGTCAGATTATACTCAAATGCCATGTGCTTCCTGGTTTCGGCCATCTTGGATTTTTTGATTAAGTTATAAGTTACCTTAATCACAGGAAATTGAATAGAAATCCCCTCTCATATCACGCAACTCATTTCTCCCTTGCATTTCTAAGAAAATGATGTCATCGACAAATGGACTCGTCGAAACGTAGGGAACAAGGTATGTATATATCAAACGCTGCCATCTTTCAGCAGGCCGGCATAAATATTTTTTTACAGATACGTGATTTGTTATGTGATCCCTACAGTTCCCGTGATTGATAAATTTATACTATTTGGTTCTTTAATTGGTCGTTGTACTGAACGAAGTCAAGATAAATGTCATTTTTCTGAAGTCAAACACAGGGCAATGAGAATTTTTCTGCAGAAAATGACTGACCTGTCCTTCGAAGTTCGTATCGATTTTCGAGTATTTCTGTTCCTAGCTATGGAATGGATAAAAACACATGGCCATAAAACTCCGTGATTCATCGAATGTAAGTAGGCTAAATGATTTACGAAGGAATACATGAACTTTTTCAGAAAAGGATTTTTTGATTGTCGAACAGCATACTTTTTAGAGTATAGATCTTATGAAAGACATAAAAGGTTGAAAAATAAAATCTTAAAAGACAGGCATTACTTTCAGGCAACTGTAGAAAATGTCAAAAGGTTCTAGCAGTACTTACTGATCTTGTTTTGTGAAGAATTTCACTTGCACGTGAGAGCTAGAAGTTTCCATTTTAACTCGCTGTAGCAAAATTCTGATAACTGTTCTCTTTATTGATGTCAAACTTAAAACGTTATTACGGCAAACGAAATCCTGAAAATAAATCTCTTTCGTCTCAATATAAAACTAGGAATAGAAGAGATTTCCGGTATGGGTAGGTGGTTCTCTTTTTATTAGCATTTTGCTCGGAGCAATAATTTGTTTGGTGTTAATAAGTTTATGAATGTATCAGAGAAACGGTCGTTCATTTTTTGGGTCCAAGAAAAGAAAGATCGCTTTCCATTTCGACTCAAAAATCAAAGCTAAAGTTGAAGTAAAAATTTCAAAAAACTAAAAAGTCTAAGAAATGCAGAAACTCTAATGATGATTCATCATTCTTGTCTTGTCATTTGTTTTTTCTATAGCTATGACATAACAATAATTTAGATTTGTGCAAAGGTATAAGGTATAAATCATCACAGATTCATGCCAGGTTGTTTGCAGTTATCCCGTTCCAGGACTAGTCCTGGAACGGGAAAGTTTGCAGTAGATGGTTGTACCCTTACTCGAGTCTCTAGCCAATACTTGGCTAGAGGGGATTTCATCTGGAATACTGTGAACTCTATTTGAAAAAAGCTGGCCGTGGTGTCATAAATTTATTGAATATTTTAAAAATCGCCAGATAAATAAATCATTAATCAAACCGGACCCAGCTCGGCTCCTTGATAAGATATGACATGATTTCATCAGGATTTCGTCTAAAATTAAAACCAAATGGCTCCAAGAAAAATGGCGATGTTCGAAAACTGGACGAAATGTCGTTAACGTCTGACATTAGTAACTGGATGTTAATTCTAAGTTAGCGATCCAGAAGATGTGAACTAATACACTTTATGTGTGTTTTGGAATTTTTGGTGAGGTAATAAGACCATGGGCTTTCAACTGAAAGCCCATGATAAGACCAAAACTCGCAATTCAAATTGTGATGTGGAAAAATGGCGGATATATGATTTCAAATTTTATGATTACGACATGACCAGTTGCAGGGCTGTCAACTTGGGACCACCTAATATGAGTGACTTCAAAATGTTGGACACCTAAGTCCAAATCTGAACACTTTTGTCCAAATTTTGAACACCTTTGGCCAACTTTTAAACACCTTTGGCCAAAGTTTGAGCACCTTTGCCAAACTTTGAACACCTCAAATTTTTCGCGCCCGCTACGCTCGCGTTGTCGTCAACGGGGGGGGGGGGGGGGGGGGGGGGGGGGGGGGGGTAGGTACGAAAAATTTCCAATGTACATGCGTGACACATACGGGATTCGCGTGACAAATCCGAACAAATTGCGTTCGTTTTTTTTCCCGCGTTCGTATTTTTACCGTATCGTAAACATATTTCGAAAAAATTTCTACAGAAATATTTTGGCTTGACAATTACCAGGTAAAATGCGTATTTTGCGTGACATTTTCTGTCACGCAAAAAAAACTGGCGTGACTTCAAATTCTTCAGCAAATGCGTGACAAATACGCAAATTGCGGGACAGTTGACAGGCCTGCAGTTGTTCATGCAGGAATATATCTGTACTGGAAGGCCACGATACAGTGGCCTTAGAAGAAGGTAAGTGTACCCGGGGTTGTGTATCAGCTTACCATGGGCTCTACTGAACACAGCTGGCTCAAAAGCCAGCTGAGGGAACATGCCCTTTTCTTATCCCGTACCAGGACTATGGTCCTGTAACGAGCGCATTCTTTTGCTTGTACGATTACAACTTGGGAGAATTATGTACGTCCCTTACACTTAAGATACCTACTTCAATAGATTCCTGGGTATTTTAGCAATCTTTTCGTGTAGTTGAATCCACAATTGTTTGGGTACATGTATATCGGCAGAATGGGAACATTTTTCTTTTTCATCGAGAGATATTCCATCACTTTCCAAGATGGCGGTTGGATTTAAAAGGGGATTCCCCGTTTGACTGACCCGGAAGTGGCCCGGATGTTCCAATAATTAAATGAAAGAATTTGACGGTTCAAATAAGTTAAATATTACACGCAAATATTGCGATCAAAAACGAAAATTTCTTTGTTCTGCCGATAAACCCAGACAATTGTGGATTCAACTACACGAAAAGAATGCTAAAATTCCAAGAAATCTAATGAAATAGGTATCTTAAGTGTAAGAAGCGTAGAAAATTCTCCCATGTTGTAATCGTACAGGAAAAGAATAAGACGTTCGCAGGACTATAGTCCTGTACGGGATAACCCTTTTCATGATGCGTGGTAACAAGAAGTCCTACTTTTTGGGCCCCAAAAAATTCAGGCCCAAATACAGGTCTAACTACAAAATAACCATAGTTATAGGCGTAGCACCTGGTACGCGCACGCAAAGGCATTGAAAATTTCAAAATTTTCCTGGGGGAGAACCCCCAGCCCCCCCCCTTAACGATCGTTTTTTGCTTCTGTAGCAATGACTGTATTCACGCCTTAAACTGTGAACAAAGTCAATGTTTCACCCGGGGCATATTCGAGATCAATGCCCTGGCTCTGTACTAAGTGTCGTTCAGTGCAAAAACTCAACCGGAAATAGAAATGAAAAAAGTGGAGATGAACATCATAATTGACGATTTTGCAATATTCTGGTGAGTTTTCATGTTCGAATCGTATTACAGAGCAGGGCTACTATTTTCGAATACACCCCTTAGGGCTAGGCATAAAAACTTTCGAACCCCTCCATTCAGTCGTTCGGGTACAGAAAACGTTTGTGCCAACCCCTGCGGGGTATGTTCGAAAATAGTAGCCATGCTCTTCAGTCTATATTTCTTAAATGTTCATATATTTCGATTCTTGAATAATTAAGAAAGTGCAAGATAAGCCCAAAGATTCAAACTTTTAAAAATAAATCAACTATTTCTATTTTGATCCTAAAATCGCTAAGAATGCGCTAAATCAGCCGAATCCGTAGTTTTGCTCGCCCTACGGCCTCGCATAGTAGATAATCCTGGCTACATCCCTCAGCTATTATTTTTTTGGGCCCAAAATAGATCGAACTACAAAATAGGTGTAGCTACGCAGAATACGCAGCCTGTCAAGACCAAAATGTTTATCAAAATAAATGATGTTTTTAAATGTTTTAATTTCTAAAAGACTAACATGAAGCAGTGGCGTAACATGGGCATTTTGTGAATGTACGCCATGAGTGAGTGAAGCAAACAAGCTTTGACGGGGGAGAGCCCCCCAAGAAAATTTGAAAATGAGATTGCATTTGAAGCATTCTGGGGCATTTTGAAACACGAAATTCCAACTTATATTGACTAATAAAATGTAAATTATTGGCCACTTTTATCTAATATTTAATTACATGAACCCATTATAATAAATAATCAACTTTTCTCTACATTTTGAGAGAACGCAATGGCATTTTATGCGTACATGATGCTACCCCAGTCCATGTAGGATAATAAGTAACATTCTTCTTTTTCATTTAAATCAGTCTGTGTGTGATTTTTTGCACTATCATGCTGCCTTTTGGGTACTTGCTACAGTTTTGTACTGGTAAACTAACCATTCACACTTAATTTTTTGATTTACACTTAAATTAAGTTCGATCAGGTCCAGAGGATGTAATATCAATCAAGGCTGAATATATGCATATAAATTGAAAACCAAATTTTATTTTCAGATTTCTCTTTGGATCATGAAGTATATAAAGTACTGACTTAAGTTAGAAGGAAGTTGCTGATTAGTTGCCGGTAACCATAGAAACAGTTCAAACTTAAATTGACAACAATGGATGACATACAAATTACTAAATTAATGAACAAACAACTTGAGTTGTTTGACATGAACTATCGCTCTGAAGGAGGAAATATAATATCAGGTGAAGAGACGATCAAAGATCGGCATATTCTTTGTTACATGGCCTCGCAAGATGTAAAAGCTTATATAAAATCAGAACTTCTCACTTCGAGTCCTCCTGAATATGGACTTGAAAACCTTATTGTAACCTCAGAAAATGAAGAGTGTCAATTAAAAAAGGAGCTTGGGTCTGAAATGTTTACAGATTTTAACAATTCCAAAATGCAGATGCAAAAATTATTCCAGAAACTTGATGGAAAGTCGCAACAAGTAATGTTTTCGTTGTTTGGACAACTGTATAATTATTTGAAATGTGTAAATATGCATAGAATGACAAACAGTGCAAAATACCACACACTCAATATCCAATGTGATCAGATTCATATAGACAGAAGTTCTGAAGCGACATGTGAGGAGGCAACATGTAAAAATGCACCAATTAAGGAGGTGCCTGTTAAAGAGACACCCAATAAAGAGGCAACCTGTATAAAGGAGACACCACTTAATGAGGTGCCATGTAAGGAATCATCATATAAAGAATTACCATATAAGGAAGTACCATATAAGGAGGCACCACATAAGGAGACACCCTATGAGGAGACACCATTGAAGCAAGCTGAATCTTTACCTATGTCTCCTACCTACAGGAGCCTGGCTAAGACATGTGTCAAACAGCGCACATGTTCCCACAATGGGGCCTCTGGAAACCCGCAACAAGGCTGCTGCAGCAACAACAGCGATAAATCAAGCAATAATAGCAACAGGGTATGTATATATGTACATCGTCATCAACTAGCTATTTTATGCTTAAAAATTCTTAGTAGTGCTTTGATGGATACAAATAAAAAAGTTGAAAATACCATGACATATTAACAACAGTTTTAGGATGTTACATCCTTCAATGTTATTTCAGCCTCATTAACTTGGTAGTTGGTTCACCCAAATATTTTCTCTAAATGGCAATTGCAACAGTTCATTGACTAGAAATTATTTACCTATCAGCGGTGGCGGTAGGCATATATTTTTGTGAGTCATCATGACTCAAGTAGTTTCAAAAAAGTGAGTCACAAGAAAAAAAGTTGAGTCAAAGCTATAAAAGTGTTTTTCTTGAGTAAAAATGCATACAAAATGTAGAAACCACATACAAAATCTATTTTTTGATTTTGTGCATACCTTTTATTGTACTCTTATAGCACATTAACAACTAACAATTAATTAATTAGGCAATTGCAAGAAAAATGTCACTATTAATCATCTGATTATCTGGTCCAGCGAGTCATGGGTGTGAATGGAGTGGGAGAGGAGTTTCTCCCTGTGTGGAGTTACACAAATTGGGGTCAAAGCGTTTCATGTTGAAATTCAACATTTTTGCAATCATTCCAAAGTCTAAAACGGCAATATAAGTCCGACCACAATACTGGGCATCATTTAAATTGAATACGGTAGAATCTTGTAATTATAAAATGAAACCGAAAGTAGATTTGTTTTCATACCTAATTTATCATCATTACCCCCTTAATGTGCGATCGACTGGATTTTCATGTGCCCATTATCTATCTTCATAGGATCAGCTTCAGATCTAGTGAATCGAAGATCTTAACTTGAGGGAGTTAATTGAAAATACTTGGTGAAAACTTACGATAGATCGGTCACTGTGAGCACCATTGATAAACCTACTGCGCATTACATCTGCGCATGCTGATGAAGGGGACGGCTCAAGGAAACTTGCTAACTTAGCGAAGGAATTTTGCGAACTTGCGAAGGAAACTAAAGGTTCGTAAATCTAGCGTGTGAACATTCAAGGAAAGATTTTATGCGGTAATTTAGATTAATATACGATCACTAAAATCCTTAGAAGGGAGTATGAAATTAATAAATTATTGTTCAATGTTATGTCGTTTTATTGCATTTTTGATACGCCCCCTAGCACACGAGATAAACAAATCGAGGGATCGATCAATGTTTTCAAGTTTATCATTGAATCTGAATCACAGGGCTTTAAAAATTATATGAAATACCGAAATAAGAAAATGATCGGTAGGAAGGAGGCTCGATTGCGCTGAACGAAATGTTAGATTTCCGGAATTAGCAAAATTATAAATTTGATCAATCACGTATTTTCACGTATAGGGATCAATTTAACCAAGTACCAAGCGGGGATTTTGCATGTGAAACAAACGTGCGTCAGAAAGACTCGGTAGACAATGAATATTTGCGTCAGAGTTGCAAAAATGTGAGTAAAAAACGTAAAAAATTGCGTTAACGCCACCTCTGCCTATAATGATGATGAAGCGGTGAAACAGTAAGATATTCTTTGATTAAAGTGTATACATGTGTTATGAAAAAATTATGCACTGATGAATAATTTTGAAGAATTTCTAGAAATTTTAAATAATGCAAAATTAAACCATGCCACATAGAAACCTAATTTTTAGGATCTGTGATTTGGGTTTCCGGTCGTCTGTCCGTCCGTCCGGGCAATAACTCAAATACCGTTGGCCCGATTTTGTTCATATTTAGTTTAGTACACATATACCTTATGGGGGTAGAAGTTCTGCTCGAAAGCCGATTTTCAAAATGGCCGCTCATTTCAAAATGGCGGCCATTTTAGTGCCGATTTTACAGTAATTTAGGTGCAATATGTAAAACTGATAATAGCAATATGTTTTAAATGTAAAAAAATTATAAAGGACATTAATAATGCTACAAATGTAGATATTAAAGAAGCACATGGCAGCCATCTTGAAAAATGGTGGCCTTTGCTCGTCATTTTACGATTTTTGCTATAACATGTAACGTATTTTACTATTATTATCGAAAAGTAGTGGAGCAATTTTGTTCATATTTGGTGTGAATACTATAAGCATGGCACACTGTCTATTTCTAATGACACTTTTGGTAGAAGGTGGCCATTTTGAAAAATGGCTGCCATTTTAACGTATTTTACTATAACTCAAAAAGGACATAAATTATTTATTTAAGCTTAAGTGTTTCATCCTCATGATCAGGTAGTTATTTGAACATTGAGACTTTAAATCCTGCTGATTGACTTTGATGCAAATTAAATGTCCTTGATACAACAATCATAGTAAGTGTAGTTCTTATATCATGAATGGAATCTGGAATAAACTTACTTTTTTAAAATGAATTGTAGTGGTAACCATTTTATTGCTATTCAAAATCTGGTTACTTTCAAGTAGTGAGTGCAAAACACTGACATTGTTCATATTGATCTTCATATTTGTATTCAAGTCCCTTCATACTTTGTTCAATTATTTTCTGTGCAGTTTTTATCTTACTCAAAAGCTCAAAAATCCAACAAAGGTTTTTCTACATAGATTTATTACAGATAGAATTTCATATTTTGATGTGTTAAGTGAGAGAAGTATTTGCAATTAATGTTTCTTGAGGTGTTTACTGAGTGAGGCATTCATACACACAGGTGTTACTGTAGATTTGTTTCATGATTGTAGAGTTGTTCACTTGCACAGGAACTAATATATATATGTCTAATGTCTGTAGAGTTGTTCACATACACAGGAACTAATATACATATGATTGTCTAATGTCTATAGAGTTGTTCACATGCACAGGAACTGATGTACATATGTCTAATGTTTATAGAGTTGTTCACATACACAGGAACTAATGTACATATGTCTAATGTCTGTAGAGTTGTTCACATGCACAAGAACTAATGTACATATGTCTAATGTCTATAGAGTTGTTCACATGCACAGGAACTAATGTATATATGTCTAATGTCTATAGAGTTGTTCACATACACAGGAACTGATGTACATTTGTCTAATGTCTATAGAGTTGTTCACATGCACAGGAACTAATGTACATATGTCTAATGTCTATAGAGTTGTTCACATGTACAGGAACTAATGTACATATGCACACTACTATACCCCCATACTGTATCCTGTATTCCTTTAAAAGAAGTACAGGCTACAGGGAAGTTGCAAATGGAGGACAATGGAGGACGTTTGTTTATTTCCATAGTTCTGAATGTATACTAGATTTTACACATATTCTAAGTGTTCTACTATACATTGTATAGATTCATCGAGCAGTTTGCAACGTATTATTACCAGAAAAGCCCAATGGACAAAGATAGAGAATACCCGCTCCATTTGCAACTTAATTTGCCTATAATGATGATGAAGCGGTGAAACAGTAAGATATTCTTTGATTAAAGTGTATACATGTGTTATGAAAAAATTATGCACTGATGAATAATTTTGAAGAATTTCTAGAAATTTGAAATAATGCAAAATTAAACCATGCCACATAGAAACCTAATTTTTAGGATCTGTGATTTGGGTTTCCGGTCGTCTGTCCGTCCGTCCGGGCAATAACTCAAATACCGTTGGCCCGATTTTGTTCATATTTAGTACACATATACCTTATGGGGGTAGAAGTTCTGCTCGAAAGCCGATTTTCAAAATGGCCGCTCATTTCAAAATGGCGGCCATTTTAGTGCCGATTTTACAGTAATTTAGGTGCAATATGTAAAACTGATAATAGCAATATGTTTTAAATGTAAAAAAATTATAAAGGACATTAATAATGCTACAAATGTAGATATTAAAGAAGCACATGGCAGCCATCTTGAAAAATGGTGGCCTTTGCTCGTCATTTTACGATTTTTGCTATAACTCAAAAAATAGTGGAGCGATTTTGTTCATATTTGGTATGTGAATACTATAAGCATTGTACACTGTCTTAAGACACTTTTGGTAGAAATCGTCCATTTTGAAAAATGGCCGCCATTTTAACATGTTTTACTATAACTCGAAAAGTAGTGGAGCGATTTTGTTCATATTTGGTATGTGAATACTATAAGCATGGCACACTGTCCTATGACACTTTTGGTAGGAGGCGGCCATTTTGAAAAATATTTTGAAAAATGACCGCCATTTTAACGTATTTTACTATTATTATCGAAAAGTAGTGGAGCAATTTTGTTCATATTTGGTGTGAATACTATAAGCATGGCACACTGTCTATTTCTAATGACACTTTTGGTAGAAGGTGGCCATTTTGAAAAATGGCTGCCATTTTAACGTATTTTACTATAACTCAAAAAGTAGTGGAGCGATTTTGTTCATATTTGATATGTGAATACTTTAAGAATGGCACATTTTCTAATTAAACTTTGGGGAGTAGTCGGCCATTTTGAAAAATGGCCACCATTTTTATGTGTGTTATTTAAACAAGTACGTGTGGGATTTTTCAAAATTTTTAGAGGTGGCTACTGAAAAGCATATTATTTCTTCTGATGACAACTTGGCTAGTGAGCAACCATTTTGAAAATGGTGGCCTTTCTTATGTGTGTTGTTTTATGATATTTGCTATTCGTTTGTAAAAATGCCAGCCATTTCTGTTCGATGGGATTCGCTACGCTTTGGCGTTGCCGTTGTTCTGGTTTCCTTTAATAAGCACTTAAAGATCTGAGAAAAAGTTATCCACCCTAAAGCAATGTGTATATGATATAGATGTGATGTTCTACATCAAATTGGTGTAATAATATTAAATGTGAACTTTGAAAAGGCAACAATATCTACAAATCCATGTAAAATGATTCATGATGTGTTGAATACATTTATGCGTGTTAAATGTGGTGTTTACATCAGTTGTAATTTTTACCAATGTCATTTAAAGTTATTTACCAATCACTTATTCGTTAAAGTGTGTTTCATTTGCATGTCATACTAACCCAAGTTATATAAAGTTACAATTATGAATATAAAACA